GACTGCCCTGCTACAGTTCAGGGGTATGAAAAACAATGAGTAGCTCTAAAGAATGGATGGTTAAGTTTTCTAGAAGCTTCTATTATCAAATCCACATGGAGAGAAAATAAAGCAGACATGAGCCACAGATGTGGACATTGAAGGAAAGAAGTTTTTCTAAGAAAAAGTAAAGTTGACATATATTTAGTTGTTATTAATGTATGTCAGGCACCATAGAACATAGTTCAGAATCTGCCCAATTCAAACATCAAAACCTCCATAAGACTACTTTTAATTTTTTATTTCTAATGTCCTAGACGGAGACATCACTTTCCCTAATTCTGAAGACCATGCGAACAGCCAGGGTGTAGCCCTGAGACAGCTTCTAAGGAACGGGGTTTTCACTGTGGAAAAGCAGAAGCCCAGAACAGGACAGCTGGACATCTCAGTGACAATGACATTATTACTGCAACTAATCCCTAACAACACAAAGGTGTCAAGCCTTTCAAAAATTGCCCAGGGCTCAACTGACTACAAAAAATCACTAACCTGTTAACAGTGCTGAAAGTCTTAGCAAGTCCTATCTTCAGTCCTGTGCGCTGATGTATAAGGAGCCAGTGGGCAACCTTATTCCCAAAGCAGGCAGAGCAATTTTAGCTCCCTCTCTGTCCTGTGAGTGTGTGTCCCTTGCCTTTGCCCTGTCCATTCAGCAGAACTGTCCCATCGAATACCCATGTGGTGTAACTCTGCATTTCTGTGTTTTTTTACTCATATATAACCACCAGTGAAAACTTCCTCTAAATCTTTCAGTTTCTTTCCAAGACAATCATACTATCATATTTCATATGTGGAAAAGAAAGTTTTTTAAAATATTTTTTATTTCTTAGACACTTTCATTAGTTTCTTTAAAACAGTATACGAAGTAGTGGGTTTCATTATGAGGTTTTCATCCCTTTTGGCTGATTGTCTTCCCTCAGTCCAGCCTGCCTCCTGCTGGTCCCTTTACTCCCCCTCAGCCTTCTGCTTCATGTCACCAATGCTCTGTTACTCTTTCTGTTTTCCTCTTTTTCTTTTCCCAACCCTTCCCTAAGAACTTCTTCCTCTCTCATGGCCCCTTCCTTGTTTCATAGCCTATACCCCCCAACACACACACACACACACACACACACACACACACACACATACACACACACAACACACGCACATGTACACATTTATTTGTGCATACAAAAATTAAAAATCTATAGAAAACATTCAGAATTAGCCTTTCTGAGACTCAGAAGGAAGTAGTGCTTGACTGAGCTCTGTCTCCTGACAGGTAACTGAACAGTTCTGTATTTATGCTGAGTTCCTTGCTGCTCTCTAGCGTTCATAAGTCAGGCTGAGGCATCCTAGTCATGACAAGAGCTGGGGCCAAAGTTTGTGTACTTTGCAATAATACCAGAGAGGATTAGATTGTAGTTTGGGGTCGGCTGCCCTCTCAAATGTAAAGGTGATTCCTGTAGAAATGAATGCAGTGCTTTGGGCTGGTGAGTGGAATAGTGGCTTTGATATAACATTTACTATTGTTGCTTCAGAGTTCAGCTCAGAAGAATAAGAAAGCCTTTATCTAGTTGGTAGATTCCTGGCAAGTTCAGAGCATGTCTCTTAGTCCTTTGGTATATTATGCAATTGGCAGAAATGGTTGTTCCTCTGTAGGGAAGTCCTTCTTCTGTATGATTTCCATGTGTGTTCTTTCATTATTATTGGATCATTCCAAAGTTGGTAAATTTTCTTTTGTGTAACAGCATTGCAACATTCTTGAGACCATAGACTTGTTTTGAAGTTCTAGACCTACCACTTATGGTTTGAGTGGAACTGGAATGATTGCTTCATGATTTTCATACACAGATTCCTGCTTGTAACATCTACTGAAATGGTCAAGATAAAAAAATGAAATCATGCAGGCCAGTGCTTAGCCCAGTGCCAACCACAATTGAAAAGTTACTTT